CAGCGAAGCGAGCACTAAAGGAGAATTCGAACGTCAAGTTAACGAAAGAGCAGAAGCGCTAGCCAACGAACGGGCGGCGGTTTTTAAAAAAGATCTTATGAAAAAACTTGGCGAATAAGTTTTACAAAGTCGGTTAAATACGAAGAGAAACCAGAATCTCCACCCGCTTATCGAGAAGCAAGCAACCCGACCATTTTCACCCAACCGACGGCAACTCCTTTGAAATTCTTTTAAAATAAATGGGAGGCAATTTTAGTAGTCTAAATATTTTAGTCAACGAAGACAATTCCTTTACAGCCGAGTTTCCAAATTTAACGCACGCGTATAAATTACCGAAAGTAACCACGGACGAAGCGGTCAATAGGTGGTCTACCGAGTCGATATTGTTTTACCAAAATCAATTTAATTTCGCAGTCTATTGCGCAACGACGGCCTGCGGTGTGGGCTTTGATCTGCTGTCCGACCCCAATCCGTACGTCTCGGCTTTATTTAACTTTCACGTGTATTACACCGTACGAAAAATATTTTACGACTGCGTGACGCCCATTCCTAGCGACGACGTATTTGACGTGTTACACAATAATTACGACCATCGGAAGTTTACCGACACGTGGCTTTTATACGGAGTAGACCCGAATAAATCGTATGCAAGAGACACTTTTTTGGAACGGATTAGGCACCGCTTGTTATTTCACAGTCGGATGCAGTTACTTTGGCCTGGTGGGATTTTGTTCCTAAAAAGTCTCGGACGTGGGAATCACCAAGGTAAATGAATCAATTCGAGCTTACGTCTACGCATTACTCGGGGCACAGGCACAGACCAAGACCAGCGTGTTTGCCACCGGCACCGAATTAGACGCGCAACGGCAATTTATTACAATCGTGGAATCTTTAATCAATTCGGACCCCGATCTCGAATAGTCGATCGACCAATTTCAAGATTCGCTACAATACGCAAAAACTGCAAAGGGCAAAGCGCCTAAAGCTTTCAACCCGAGTTTCTTCAACACGTTTGCCAGGTTCCACAGTTGACGTTTGATCCAATCGGTAATTCCACCTTTGGAAGGAGGAGCCGGCGTTGGTTTAGGTGCGGGTTCAGGTTCAGGTGTTGGTTTGCTCACTCCGGCAGCTCTGACGCTAGCTACGATACTACTAACGATGGTACTTACCGCTAAACTAAAAGCCGTTAAAATGCTTACGATTGTGACGCCTTGCTCTCTAAATATCGTTCGAATCTTATCACCCAGGGTGTCATCCGAATGTAAAGCGTAATTAATTAAATCTTTAACTCGCGATATTTGGCTTTTGAGTTGACCGTTTAATATGTCTTTTTGAGCTTGTAGTCCTTCGAGTTGATCTTGCAAGTCACGTAAGATCTGTATCCTCAGAAGTCTCGAGAATACTTATTTCTTCTTGAATTTCTGTAATTTTAGCTTCGTTTAATCGTATCTGTCCTCTAATAGTTTGCAATTGTTTGTCTAATCCTAAGAGCTCTTTGTAATTTAAACCCTCGGTTTGAACGTTTGTATCTTGGGTGAGCTCTTCTACGATGTCAATGACTTGGTCTGATATTTGTGGTAGCTCTTCCATTGGAATGCTCTCGGGTTGAATGGCGTTTAGTCTTTTTCTGGTAATCCAAAAAACCGAGTTCTTCGCGAATAAATTTTGATCCACTTTTAAATCCAGCTTTTTTAGCACGCTTTGCTATGGTATCTAGCGATTCAAATCTTCTCGGGTTACGTTCGTCTGTAAGTAATATCTTACTGGGTCCCAGTACATTTTTATAATATAGACCTTTTTTTGAGTTTACTACATTTGTCTGGCTTTTTGTGATATATTCAAAATTTTCGAAAGCGGGCTTTGGTATATCTGATCGACTTTTATCTTTGTAAAAATTGTAAAAATCGTTTACTCTGGGATTACCGATAAACATCGGTCGACCCTCTTCTAAAATTTCGTCTGTCGTTTCGCCTTCTATAAAGGACGTTTCTTGTCGCTCATTCTCAACAAAATCTTGGTCGCGCTCGCTTATTTCTTGATCTTGATGTTCTAAGAGAGGTATTTCCTCGGGATCGAATCCTCCTGCCATTTCTTTTATAATATACATTTTTTAAGCGGTGGGCAGGCTCGCGGGCAGGATACCTTGTGCTTCCAACAAACCCTGGGTGGCCAATGCACCGCTAGACAGCGCGGTCAATTTCAACGCGTCTTCAGCAGACAATTTATTGATATCCGGCGGTTTGACCTTGAACAGCTTGCTCGATAGCATGGCGTAACCGAGCGATAGCCCCAAAACGACCGCATCGTGGTAAACAGTATTGGCGATTCCGTTTGCGTCGATTGATTTAGCGTTACTCATATTTAGTAATAAGGAATCTTAAATTTATTCCAGGTCTAAAATCTGTTCTTAAATTTTATTTGCTTGGCTCGAGTTTGCTTTGTTTCGCTCGCTTTTTGGTTGAACTAATTGGTTTCTCGACATCAGAAGCTTATCCGTGATGCTGCAAGACTAGAAGCCAGCTTCCACGAAGTGTTGATGAACTTCGCTGATGTCCATCACGGGATAAACCACAGCAGACCAATCGACGAGGAGGACCTGAAAAGGATTGGTAAGCAAATTAAAAGACCAGCTGTGTGACCAATGTTTACATGTTATCAATTGACATGCATGTATTATGGGTATTCCTTATCTCATTTGGTGCAGAGCAACTGTGCGGAAGACTAATGTACTGACAACAGTCTTCTTTGCATTTCTCTACTTCAGCACACTCTGCAACAAATGAAATCATGAAATATCCTTTGTAAGTCATGTAATGGCATGTAAACACATTGGTCATGTAAGCAGTCTATTGTTTCATTCCTTTTTAATTTTTTGAGTGTGAAAACTATTTCGGTTGCTAATTGGTTAAAACTGCACATTAATTTATCTACATGTACTTTCAATTTTAAGGTCGATGCATCACTAGGTTTATGGAGTCATACCAAAGCCACTTCCCACAGCGTCCATCACCCCTATAATGCACCTTCTTGAGGACCATGCCCTTGACAAACTGCAGCGGTTCGTGTTTTGGATTCGCTGTGCTAAATGAGCAAGGAGGGGAGCTCATACCGAATTCAATCGCACAGGAAAAGTAGTCCACGGCATGCGAGACCAGCTGAAACGCCTCCTCACTACAATGGAACTGCATCACATCAGCAGCACCACCCCAGAAATTCAGGGCAGCATGATTACAAAACCGCACGAGGAATGAACACCTGCCTCCTGCAAATTAAATGAAATAAAAGCTTTACAAATGAAATATTTACAGTCAGTCAGCTCTGATCACTCTACATGTATAATTTATTACTTGTCATATGTTACATACACTGTATACATTGCAACTTGTAGACCTTATTTGTTCATGTAGCTGCATATTATATACCTCATGTCCACTTTTATACTTTACACAAATTTCATTTTAACTCTTCTGTCATACATGTACATGTAGTTTCGAGCATGTATTCAAGTCCTATGAGCATAGAGCTAGGATGCTACGAGTATGAAGATTTATTCCTTACAGGCCTACGTTAGTACATGAAGGCCTACTAACAACTACATGTACAATAACTAAGGTCAAGAAGATAGATACTGCCTGCATTTTATTAAACGTCACTAGGCTACTCCCCTGTTTAGAGGTCAATATGGTGTTTGTGTGACCTTTAGAGTTAGCATACACAATGAAAACGCTACATGTACATGCAGACCTGTTGATTGGTTGGTGCATGGTTGGATGAGTTGAAGTTTCGCGCAAAGATAGTGTAGGCCTAGGCGTACTGTTGCTAGGCCCCTTACTTATTAGGCCTACTAACATTTATACATTGACATACAAATTCGTGCCTAATGTTACCAATATAAATGCACAGATATTGATTGGGGGATTCAGACTTTTAACAAGGCCAAATTGATACTAATGATTTGGAAAATTTATGTTTTTCCATGAAGGAAATGTCCAACTAGACTCAGTCAGTCCGCAGCGCTCGCGATAATGAGGTCAAATCCCGAACTTTATGTGCTCAGCCAAACGTACGTGTACGAAATAGCTGCGAGAGTTCCGCGCGTTGTTGCGAGATTTCAACCGATCTTTTGTAACGAACTACAGGTTCTAAAAGAAGTAGTGGGCATCCAAGATGGCGTGGTCAGTAGAAGGAACACGTTTTTCCGATTCGAATGGTGGTAAAAATACCCAGTTTAAACCACTTTTTAGCCGTTTTTTTGCACGTCTAAAGTTTAGGCGTAATGCTGTGGCTGTTTTCATTTGCGTTTTTATTTGCTGCGCCCTGACTGGACTAGGTAACAATGACGAAAACTATCACTACAGATCGAAAGAGAAAGCGATAAGCTTTCATTTGGTTTAAATTTTAGCATGTGGGCGAAGTGCGTGCACTTTTTCTGTGACACTTTTTGCGCACGAGATTTCATCTTTTTCAGGAATTTTTTTATAGAGCACGTGCGTTGTGTGCGTTGGTAATAAGGTACAGTGCAGCCTACATGTACTACAGGTGTACAGTACATGTGAATTACTGTGCATGTAAATGCTAAGCAAATAGGCTCAACACTGTAACAGGCCAATTTTTTACATCAAGTTCAAATATAATGATTCATGCTAGGCCTTTTAATAATACAATTGTTCGACTAAGGCCTACTCGTTTGTATTTTTATGAGTAATTAATGCATGAATTTGGAAAAAAGTGGAAAAATTGTTGCAGCCTGACGCTTTCATGCCTTCTTAATTGCCTTATTTTGAAATAGGCCTTGTACTGTAGTTTTCAGTTGAAAATCAAGTTTTTCCATTACTTTGATTTCTTGAAAATGTCAATGTTTAATATACACTTTTGTATGAAACGCAAAACAAAAAAACCCCATCATTTCCATGTTGTTGCTTGTTGCCTCCAAAATTATATGAGTTACATGTACCTTGTGTCTATGAGCCCAAAGAAAACATGTTTCTTTTTATATTGCTGAACATTGTGATGAAACTAAAGGTTTTAGTGTTACATGTGGATGTACACATGTAACCACTGAAAATACATGCATCTTTTTGTTCGTTTGTAGGTCAGGCCGTCCACCACCATGGCCAGTCCCACCACAGCCAGCATCACTAGATCAGCCAACGCGATCATGTTGGGAGCCTATATGAAAGGCTAGAGCTCTCATACTTGGAGATTCCCTAACAAAGTACCTCAAAGAAAACATCACAACTGAATTAGTTGATGTGGAGGTAGCAACTCGCCGCGGTGCAACAATTTCGGGCCTTCGAAAGCATTTGCTTCAGTGTCGTGACATGTATACAACTACGCCTGACATTGTTGTAATCCATGTCGGAACAAACGATTTAGAGTGGGGTTTCCTGCACAGCAACTTGAAGCATTTCAGGGAACTCATCACCACCTTACGCGAGATCTTTCCAACTGCTAAGCTGGTGTGCAGTTGAATTCTTCCTCGGCAGGACAGTGAAAGTTTGGAGGCCTCACGTGTGAGCTACAACATTCACTTGGGGAATGTTTGTGGGCAGCTTGGTTGTCATTTTTTTGACAGTGGCGACAAGTTTTAACATTGGCATTTTGCCAGAGATGGCCTTCACTTGAATTGGGATGGGAATTCCCTACTTGGTGCGGTGGTTGAGGGCCATCTAGAGAGATATGCCAGGATGCTTTCACCAATTTCTGGAAAAAGCTCCTGCAACGACACAAGACGGTTTGAGCCTCCAGAGCTGCGCAGGTTGGTACGGAGACCAATGCGGGTGAAGAAGCCCAAGTCAACTCCAGCAGAAACAACCAAATTGCGTCCCTCAATGCTTCCTCCTCCCAAGGACATTGGTTGTGCAAGCCAACCAAGACGAATGAAGATGCCGTCTGTTTCGTCGGTAAAGAAGAGGATGAGGCGGATCAGCATTAATGTCCAGGGTGAGGATTTCAAGATATATGGGCTAGCTCCATTCAAGCCGAAATCTACCCCTGCTGACAAGCCGCACAGTGCAATGGCACATATTGCATACTCTCAAGTGCATGGTCCGACACATCGCTTCAGGGAATTCGGGAATGGCGTTTCCTTGCCAAAACCAAATTCTCCCTATGTTTCATCCTGGAGGCAAACCAAGAGGAGACACTCGGTGCAGAAACGTACGAAGAAGAAAAGACGACGGCGAAAGCGCAAGGTTTGAATAGAAATAGAAATGATTTTTTTTCTTCATGCTAAAGTTGTTGGAAAAAAAGTCTCTCTTTCTGTTTACTCACAAAAATATTGCCCAACTATGCCTTGTGAAAACTAATTGTAATGTTTAAAAATGCCATTAGAGTAACAAGTCAGTTGAAATATTCAGGCAACGAATCGATACTCCAGTGCAGTACAAGATTCAGGTGCGCCAGCTGAGAGCCTCACATCTAGATAATCACTATGTAGCAGCCCTTCTGATGTACCTGTAAAGGTTCGTAATCATGCTGGGTCGAGTAAGATGTTGCTTAATGTTCAGTGATGACAAAGTTAAGTGCCCTTTGGAGAACCAGGCCATATTTTGAGCACAGGTGTGAGAGGACGGTCATCTTTAGCTCCAACCACTACAAGCCATCAGGCTGAATACCACGATATTCCTAAGAAGAGCTCTCTTACCCCATCTGTGTACTATGATTTTGAGATTCCCCAGTCGTCAAAAGCGTCATTTTACAGAGGGAAAATCAATGTGTCAGTGAATGACAGTGCCTTTCAGTCATCAAGACCTTCGCGCCACGGTGCAGCAAATGTGCACATTCTCCGAAATCTTCCAGGGGGTGTACCTTCAGTGTTCGCATAGTTCAGTGATGACGGTACAGACCAGAGAATCACACTTGAACATGTAAAATGCTCTCACATTGCAGAATTTAAATTGCTGAATCTGGACCTCTTGGTTGCATGTCGATGTGCCCCAGGCCAGAGCTGGATCAACTTGGCAAAGCAATGGATGTCACTTCTCAACTTGAGTCTACAAAACTGTGCCTTGGAGAGAGAGAACTGCAGTCAAGAGACAGGACAGAAGTTGAAATCACTTGTAGGAGTAGCTGCAATCCGAGAGGCTGGTAGTTCTGACCCAAAGCTTGCTGTCGAACGGAAAGAATCTTTGAAACCCATACAGGTAAACACCGATATGCTTTGCAGTTCCCTCTCCCAGAAATGTTGGGTTCGTATTTGAACTTTCCAATAAGCCATTAATGAGCAGAGATTTTAGAGGTTGAGTTTGAAAGGAGAGCCAGTGTCCGCCTTCCCTGTTGATGATCAGCAGATTAGCGAACTGGGGGAAGTCTTTTTCTGATTATTGTCAGAAGCTGACAAACTAAGGGCTGAAGAAAACATATCACAAATGGGTAGCAGCACATTGCATTGAAAGAACATACTCCTTCCAGATCAAAAGGTATTGTGCATGAACCCAATACATGAACCTGTCTATATGTAGGTGCAATCTGAAAGCATTTTCTGCATTGAGTTTTTTCCAATACCTTAATTGTGTCCTTAATTCATTAAGGCTCTGCTTTTATAATCCACATGATTATTTAGGTGCAAAAACCCTTTTGTGTTGCCCTGAGCCTCGTCTTGGGTGGGACTAGGTTGATAGAACTGGCCAACTCCATGACCCAGTTTTGAACCCCACTGGCAAACACTTCCACAAATTTGAGGAGGTCGTTGGCAAAAGTGATCTGCATGCAGCACAGCCCCCATCTATGGAACCAATTGTGAAAACCAAGAAGAAACAGGTTTGGGTTTGTTAAATTTAAATATGGCACAATGTACATTTTAAAAGGGTTAGAATTGAAGAGTACTGACAAACATTGAAAGGTATCAATTGGCTTAAAGAGTATGGATGAACAAGGTATTGGGGTCAAGCGTCTCCCTTTACTTTTCCCTTTCTAAAATCTGTTTTCGAGCGGGCCCTGTGGCATCTCTGGGTATCATCCATAATTATGCTAACACATTTATCAGCACTGCTGTCATATGAAGAAGGTTCAGTGCGGGTGGAATGGATGAAGCACAACAAAGCTCCTGAAAGAAATTGTTCCCAGTACATGATGGACACAGCATGACCACGCTAACGGTGGTGGATTAGACTGACGATGGATCTCGGGGGAACAGTTTTGGAAATCCTAGAAAAATACCCACGTCTCCTGGAAGATGGAAAGGTGAGTAGTAATTTCCGTTCTCTAATAATATAACAAATCAGAATTTATCGTCTTTTGTTTAATTTGTGATATGTGGATTGTCTGGCTTTTGATGTGGAAGAAGCAAGTTCAAAAGCAAGTGTGGCTTTGCACTTACACAAGATGCTGTTACCACAAATAAAACCGAAAGCCATACTGTCCTCATATGCTTGCTTTTCTTTGGTGGTGTATTAAGGTTTGGTATTTGATAAGTAAATATACCAAATACTATTTTCCTGTTTGTCCCTTGATTTTTCTTTGTAAACAAATTGAAAAAACAAAGACCCCTCCGCAATGACACATCACTGTTTCCTGATATACATGCATAGGATGACCTCCCTCTCGATGCTGGTTGATGAAACATAGATGTCAATAGTGTGGCATTTTTCATTACTACCTGCTTGGTGTAAAGTCGATTTTCATGACAAACCTCTCTCAACCGCTGCTGGCAGTCAAACTTATGGAAACTGTTGCTTAGGCAATAACATGAGTGTTGTCATTGTACTTTTCTGGAATTTTTACCTGTTTAGATAGATAATGAAATCCAGAACTTGAAAGCCCTGACGATGTCTTGGAGTAAAACGATCCATGATATTCTAATCGCGGTAAACGGCAGATTCAGTAAGGAAAACAATCAACTCCGAACATCCAAGCATCGAAACTACAAACTCAGAGTCCAGAGGCTATACATTGCTACAAAGAAGCGAATCTCAATCCATGAAAAAATTTTGATGAACAAACTGTTCAAAGAACGGAAAAGAGCCCAAGAAATGACCTCAACCGGAAAAGCGTTTTGCTTTCATTACTTCACTAACCTTCAAATTTATTTCTATCTATGTACAATTATAATCTCCCACCCACCGATCTTCTTCCCACAAAGTTACACCGTGCAGTCACCCTTTTGCTTACTTACCAAGAGTATGAACTCGTCCACCACCTCCCCTCTGCCAAAACCAATGTCGTGAATTTGAACAAAACTTAAGCTACCATCACTCGTTGATGCAATGGGTCACCAGTATGTGTACAAGAACACTTTTACTCTAAACAATACTAATGAAATTAAAACGGTAGCTTGAGGCAAGAAAGTAGTAATCAGAATTTACAATAAAAAAATGGGTCTGTTTCACTAGTGTTCACTGGTACGTCCAAGAATACAAGAGGCAACTGCACTCTAACACATACTCTTGCATTAACACAGTCAATAAGATATTGATTCGTTGATCTAATTTGCATACAAACAGCTGAAAACTATCTTTGCCAGCAGTAATTCCCCTCACGCTCCCTCTGATCGAACTGCTATTCATGGAGTACTCGCTGCTAACAAATACAAACTCCCATCCATTGATCTACTGCCTAAAGTCCATAAATGGACTGAAACCCAACCCCTGATAACGAAAAAAAACTCTGAAAGAGAGACCCATTATCATTGCACATAGTCGTGTCACTGCGCCGGGATTTTAAAACTAAATTCACAAAAAAACCAATTTCCATGGCCCATTAAAACCAGTTCAATGCCATTGATCGACTCCTTGCACACTCTAAACGTTGGCTTTTGTGACGAGTTGTCCTTCGTATAATTTGATTTCGAGAATCTACTTTAATATTGAACACAGTGACGTCTATGACGCCCTCTTCCTAATCACGGCGCTTTATAACCCCAGTCACGATGATTTCTCTTACTTCCTTAAAACTTCAGCCATTTTTCGGTAGACAAAAGCCTGAATAAACAAAATAGCGGAGTACAGCTATCACTCTGCCCAAATCGCAAATCTTGTTCTTGCTCTACGGGAATTTAAAGTTTTGTCAACTTAAAGACGCAATGATATTTTTCTGTTCGTGTGTTACATCGACGACGGTCATCATCTCCGATAAGTCCGTTCCAGATAACACTAAAATCATGGAAACTCTATCAAAACTGTACCTTAAATCAATCCCAGTAGCTTCGTAGTTAATGGCAAACCCGTCAATTTCCTCAACCTTACGTTATCTGTGAACCGTCACACAATAAATCCTAACCTTATCCACCACTGCAACTTCCAAAAACCTTTCCAGAAATTTACTTACGTCCATTACAAATCTAACAAACCCTGTATCTTCCGAAGCTTAATCAACGGTGAAAGTCGTCGCTATAGCACCTACTCCTCCAATGCACAGAATGTGAGTTCAAGTGCCACAATTACTTGCCTTCTTTTGACTTTACAATGAACTATGCGCTGACCGACGTTTGTGAAGGAGGGTTGATTAATTTAATATCTACTGGTCATACATCATACACATACTTATTAATGAACTCGTTCAGGAAAAGAAATTTTTTAAAACATGAAACTTGGTATTCGTTGTTAACTTTATTTTGAAAAGAAAAACTTTCGTATACTAAGTACAAGAAAATTAACAATTGGGTTGGCCAAGGGGGAAAATAACCATTTCACCATGGAAATCTTCATACAAGCACTTTTTTTTTGGTATGCTCACTTGTTAAGCACGTTAATATTGAGCTCTTAGGTGGAGTAGTAGGAAAGGGACAGTTATGGACCACACGCCCCTTTTTACCCCGTTTTTGCTCAAAACCCTTGGGTAGTACATCGACTCAAAAAATCGTGGGAATCTTTTTGGTGAGAAAAAATGGGAAAAAATATAAATTACTTGAAATCCAGGTTTTTACCCCCCAAAAACCCCTGGGTAGTACATCGACAAAAAAAGCCCGGCTCTAAAATATATACATTCTGAGCCAAAACCCCCTTTCACCCACCACACACACCGGTAATACTCGCTGCTCCCTCTGGTCGCTTTGCTTCGCTCGCTGTAAACAACTCGTGACTAGCGCCGCTCGCTTCACTGACCTTGAACTTTTGACCCCGGCTGTAAACAACTCGTGACTGGCAATCACTCACAAACAAGTCGAGACTTGCCCGATCTGAACTCCTGACTGGCACCGACCTGCACCAGCACTCACTCAAAACAAAAATGGATTTTCCCTTGCTTTTCCGGTCTGAACTCGTGATCTCTACTTAAAGCGTAGCTCTGTTCAAAGCAAAACACGCTATATTTACAACCACCTTAAATAAATGGACTATTAATAAAATGACTGACGCGGAACTTTGTCACTTGCTGAATCTAAAGGAAGTACACATAGCGGGATCACAAAAACAAAGTCAACCGATGCCCGCTTGCGACCACCAAATACTCGAAATAGATGAAAAATACGCTTGTAAACATTGCGGCCTAATTTTTGGGTGGATTCCTTCTTACACCCCAGCAGACGTGGGAGATCGGTACTTTAATCATCACGTTTGGAGAAAACCGCCACCACCAAAATCGAGAAAAACGTTGCAGAAGTATAACATTTCTTTTAAAAACGGCGAAGAGGGTGAAATAGAATACAAGTTAAACCAAGTTCTAAACGGTAAGATCTCTCGAGGTAAACCGTTGAAGGCTTTAATCGCGGTATGTTATCAAGACGTCACTGGGAAAACCGAATCTAAAGTGAAAGACCTTTTTTAAGTCTCGGATAAGCACTGGAAAAACGCCCTCGAAAAGTTTAACCTCGCCAAACGACGTATAAAACGTATATAATAAAATGGAGACTCACACGTTTTACTTGACCGAGAGCGAGCAGACGTTTAGATTGAAAAACGAGATCACCAACCAAAGGCGACAAGGTCATCCGAGTAAAGAATATTCAGTTTGAAGCTGGATATTTTAACGTAACAAACGCCACTGAAATTGAGTGGGATACAAACTTGGACGGTAGGCCCGCAGGAGTACTTGGCGAACGACCGCCCGGTATACCCTCAGTGGAAAGAACGGACGCATCTCCCAATCCAGAATTCGTACAAACAGCTAAAAACAGATTGATCCAAGCAAATAAAAGAGGTGAGTTAGCGGAAGAAATCAGAATCATCGCTGATGAAATTGAGCAGCTAAACCAATAAATCGCAACTTTAGAAGATCAGTTTAACCAAAGACAACCATTTGAAACGCGAGCTCTTTTAGCTTTTGATATCGACGATAAAAAAATCAAATCAGCTTCACTGCTCGAGGGGCAAAGACAAGCTTTAGATGAAATCAACGAAGGGAATCCCCCGACTCGACCTACCACCACCACCAACTCCCCCAGGAGACCCAGAAGAGAATTAACTAAAAGACTGTTTTTGACGGGGCTAACTGAACCTATATACGACAGACTTCATTCGCCAAGCTCATCCGAACCATTACCCCAGGGCCAAAGAGGAAGCATCGTGGTACCCCCGGTTATTACGGCATGGACTGGTTTCACTTTTTGTTAAACTCGATCCCGGGCGTTTCTTTTAAGGTTCACTCGGAATCTAAAAAGGGTGACTTTGGCCATTACGGACCCCAATCTCAAGTTGCGACTAAACAAAGAAGTGTCCAAGCTATTAAACTTACCCAAAATAAAACTTTTACCCAACGTCATTTACGAAGGCAAGTACGATTTGAACCCATTGAAACTCGCGTTTATTCATTGCAAACAATTAAATACATTTGACAATTTTTATAACGGGCAATCTTTAGACGTGCTGTACGTGATGGCTACCGAGCCTTGCACCCGTAATCATTGTGAAACGCCTAAAAAGTTAATCGAAAGGAACATCAGTGAATTGACTTTTTCTGTTAAAATCGATAAAGGCGAGCTCTTGAATAACATTGGCAAAATTTTAATCGAGTT